AATTTATATTTAAGCACAAAAGCAAGTTTGTAACCAAAAAAAGGATTAAAAGCTTTTTTACCTCAACTTTGTAATTTTGCTTATGAAAAAATGCATATCATACAATTTTCATATATGAAAATTATATTATAAGCATTTTTTCGACCAAAGTTAAAATCATATTTTCGAGAGTCAAATTGCATTCTTTCAAATTTTTTTTTAATTTCATGTAAATTCATCCAACAACATCGTTAAATTAATTTTGATGATTTTTTTCTATAATAAAATGCTTATCATACAATTTTCATATATGAAAATATTAGGATAAGCGTTTTTTTGACTAAAATAAAAATCATGTTTTTATTGAGCAGAAAGATTCAAAAGATGAAAGTAGAACAGAAGTATTTCTCTGAAAACGTTTAATACAGTTTTTTAATTTTGAAAATTGTATGATAAGCAATTTTTCCATAGCCGCCCTGTATGAAATTGTATGATAAGCATTTTTCTTTTATGGACGTCAACCCGGGATATTTCGCTCTATTAACGCGTAAGCGGAGATTTAATCCGTCTTAGAAATCGTTCCAAATTGGTTGAAAGAAGCTTATTTGCCAGTATTGATTTGTTGCTAGGAGCAAAATCTATCACTTTGTTCTTTATATGGCGTGTGGGGATATGATTTTTGCAAAAATTCTAAATTTAAAAAAATTTATTTTATCTTTTTTTTATTCTTAATTTTTCGTGTTATTTTATATTTTTTACATTTATTTCTTCGTGTAATTACTGCTCCATAAACCTCAAAAGGCAGTCAGAACATTCAGGGCCTCGGCTTGATACGAGCAGTCTTGTTTTTTGTTTTCCTCTCAAATTTAGACACAACAAGAGAAAAATGGAATGGATTGAGTGACATGTTATACAAAAAAAATTTCAGTCTTAATTCGAACGTCTTTTAAACATTTTAAAAAGTTGTCCCAGTGTCGAGAAAAATTGGTCTTTTATAAAAAATTTTATAGCTTCTCGGGGAAAAACAATCAAAAATTTTAAAAAGTTTTTTCAAGACAATTCAGAAAAAAGTATGATTTTTTTTTATCAACTTTATACATAAATTGTTGCCCAATTTGTCTATTTGAGTGTCGAAACTACCACGCATAAAAAGGACTATTAAAAAAAAGAAAACACATTTTATTTGTTTTATAGAAAATGGTCGAAATTTGTTTTGAAGAAAATGGTCGAAACACTCTGTGCTACTGTTCAACTGGCCATTCCTCTTTTTTTTGTGAAAAACGATTATGAAAAATTCAATGACATGTAGTTTTTCGCTTGAAAAATTTTAAATTTTTGTTTTGTGTTTTTCAACAAAGCTCGTAAATTTTTAGTTCTGAATTATTCCAATCAAGAATTGGAAAAAGACAAAGACAATGGCTTGGTGTAGGTGAACTTTTCCCAAACAGTTATAGGTTTTGATAATGGGGATGGGAATAATGCGTTGGAAATAGACACCCTTGCCGCCCAAAAATTCCTCCCTTTGGTACTTCATAACGACAGATCGACTATCTGTATTTGGCTGATCAACATCAAAAGGTTTCATTTGTGGTTTTTGCTTCTAGTATATTCTAAATGTGAAGAGGGATTGCACCTAAAGAAGAGCGAAAACAATCTGTAGCATCCAAGATCTTAATAATTTTTTGGGAGGATTCCGAAAATCAACGTAGATGACCTTAAAAAAGTTTACAAAAACTCCGAAATTTTTAGGTCGGTTTTAAATTGGTCTTTTTGTTATACCCACCTAAATGCGGAAAAAATGAACATTTTTTTTTACTATATTGGAAGAATTTTTCTAAGAAAAATGGTGCTTGGATCTAGAGCCGTAAACACAGTAAAAAATTGCTAAAAGAACAAATTCAGCAAAATTTATGAACGATCTCAAGCTCGTTTTTGCAAAATTTACGGGAAGAAAATAGCAAAAGCAGGGAGTTTGAAGGTAACTCAGATGAAATCATTTTGAATATTAATAGCCAGCATTTATTGTTCCGACTTTCGATACGAAAGTAACGGAATATTTGTGCTCGGGGTGGGTTATTTTTTCTTCAGACAAATTTCGGCTTTTTAACTAGCCATTTTTGACGGAGTTTTTTTATATCATTCAAAAGGTATTGTTGTCCTAATATTGAATTTCAAGAGATATTTTACCTGTGATCATTTTTGTAAAGTTATGGGGGTTGAAAATTGGCATTTTGGCCAACTTGGGACAATTAACGCGCGATATATATCACGCTATTAACGCGTAAGCGGAGATTTAATCCGTCTTAAAAATTGTTCCAAATTGGTTGAAAGAAGCTTATTTACCATAATTGATATGTTTCAAAGAGCGAAATCTATTCCTTTGTACTTTATATGGCGTGTGGGGGGATGATTTCATAAAAAAATTTCAAATTTTAGAAAAAAAATTTTTCTTTTTATTTCATTACATTTAATTTTTTTATGCTACTAATACGAGCAGTCTTGTTAATATTATTGATTCAATTTTGAAAAAAAAAATCCACTTATTCGTCGTTTTTCATCAGGGTTGGAACGGTTTAAAAAACCTCGGTTTTTCAAATCTTGCTACATCCACTTGTTTATAAAACAAGCCTTCAATCACACACTGCATTCTAAAAAAACGGGATTTACGACATACCATCAGTTCAATTTAAAAAAGCTCGAAAAGATTCATGTAAATGCGAGTTCAACCTGATACGTGCTAGAGCTATTCCAGTGGTGGCTATTGGAAGGATAGAAACCCAGGTTGAAGTCCCACCGTTAATTATTGCTTTTTCTGTAGTATCCTAGTGATCGCTATTTTCCACCGCTGATTCATGTATAATTCAGAGTTTGTTGCATAGATAAACCTGCGATTTTTCAGAGCTGTTTCACTAATGATTCCGTAGAAAATCATCGCTAAAACTTAAGAAATTTTAACTCATTCTAGTAGCTTTCAAATTAGAGTTATAGCTCATAAGATCTTTACCTTTAATTTATTTAAGGATTGATAGCAAAGAGGTAGGATACAAGGTTAGGGGATGGAACCCCTGTTAGAGCACTATTTTTCTCATCAAGGTTAGGGGATGGAACCCCTGTTAGAGCACTATTTTTCTCATTTTGATAGGTTTTTTATCGCTGTTTCATCACTAAAAATAAGCCAAATTAGCGATGTTTATCGATAAAATTTGCTATTGTGGCAATGAACATCGATAATTCATCGATGGCGATCGCTGATTCTTTTCACTTTTTTATCGCTAATTTTCAATGTGAGCTCAACCCGGGAAGGCCGAACGATTGTTATAAGAAATTCGAACCAGATTCGTCCGAAATTGTTACGTACTCATACATTCGCTGAATTGTTTGTGCCAAAAACTGAAAGCACAGTTAAGAGGAAGCGAAATGTAACTATCTACTAGTAACCTGGAGCTGGGCGCTCTTTGCGCGCGTCGCCACTTAGCTCTGATCAACGCTTGTCGTTTTCATGAACAATTTGCGTCCCCAGAACGGCCAGCGCTTAAAACGCATCATTCCAATAGTGTTATTGTTTTGACTTTCGAAGAAACCGGAATATTTATGCTTTTTTATTCAGTCAATTTTCACCGATCGATATAATAATTTTCAACAAAACTTTTTATGCCCCATTGCAGATTTTGGCTTCCTGAGTTCAAATGTAAAAAGATATTTTACCGTCGACTATTTTTTTTGAAGTTCTGGGGGTTTGAAAATTACCAAATTGGCCATGTTATGGACTAAATGGAGGCTAGTTAATCGGATCGGTCGTATTGATTTTATACGACTCAACATTTAACATTTTTATATTGTTCAAAGTTTACAGGTTTTCAATATTTTCTTTTCCCAAAAACGATTCGATATGAATTAAGGGACCGTCGGAACACTCAGGGCTTTGTCCTGATATCCGAGCAGTCTTGTCTGCTTTTAGTGCAATTGGCTAACATTGACTTTAATCTCCAGTATTTTTTTAAGTGAGGTTCTGAATGGCTAATTTTCATTTTCAAAAACTTGTCATCCGTAATTCGGGGTGCCACCTATTATTTCAGACAGAAGCTCCAAATGCAGAACACTCCGATGATTAAAGTTTTCTCAGTTGGATATGAATAGTGATTTCTGAATTCCGATTCGCTGATATAAACTTCTATCCTCTCAATAAATTCTCGAAAAAAAAATGTTTTCGAAAGGAGTTGAAAAAAAAACAAATTGAAAAATTTTCATTTTTATGATTTCAATACTTTTTATTTATAGTTATTATACTTTTCGTGTCTTACTACTACCCGGGTAGACGTCAAGCGGGCAATTATTATGCCCTTGGTCTATCCTCTTCAGATATGTTATACAAAATGTCAGATAAATTCAATGATGACTATTAAAAATGTGTTTCTTCATTTTCTGTATTTTTGCATTTAATTGTCTGAAGAAATACATTCTCCTTCTTATTTGGATTCTATAATTCTCAGCCATTTGAGTTCAGATCTATTATTTATGCTGGTTATGTTTTAACCTTTCCACCCTTCAGCAGCAATTTTGGCTTTCAGTTTTTAAAATGAACCTTTTTCTGAGGCCATTATTTGTAATTTTGTAAGAGTTGTATATTCAAAATCTTCTCCAAATCAAATGAACCAAAGTTTTTGCAGATCTAAAATATTTTTTATAGAAAAAATTTTAAAAAATATTTAATTCTAGAAATTTTGCCACCACATGATTGATTTATTGTCTAATTTCTACGAATTTGGAAACTAAATTCAAATCAAATATCCGATTGTTAAGTGAAACATGAATTTAGATGCAGAATATGGTTAAAAGGCGGGGGCGCCTCATTTACATCGCCCAAGCTATTTTAACATTTTTTGGATCATCAACGCTCAAATCTAGGGAAACATTTTGATTGCTTGAACACTAATTGCCTGACAAACAGTCTTAAAGCCACCCCAATTGAAAATTGTAAATAGGCATGCGATTTACTTTGAGCAAGTATCGATTTGTTTTAGAATTCTATTCAGATAGTAGAAAACCTCCTTGTCGCAAAATGAGCTGAAAACGATTATTACATCATTTGGAACAAATATGCGGGACTGTAAGAAGGATGCCGCAGCTAGTCTCTCACAGGAGTCCGAAGTCGTGACTGTTGAGGTTTCGAATCCGACATTGTCTCAAACCGGAAGCCCATTGGCCCTTACCGACTATTCGAATCACTCTCGCAAAGCTGTAAGACACAAACACTACGAGCATTCGGTGCACAGCAGCAGCAACTCTCGAGGCGCCAAGCGAAGTAACTCACCGACGCTCTCGCCGGCTAGTCAGAGCATCGGATCTTCAAATGACGAAGTGACGTCTACCATCAATTTGAACAGTTCCCTCGCGTCGCTCAGCTATTCAACAGCAGCTGGCACAGGAACTGGCGGTGGCTTTTCGTCTAATTTCCCTTCTTCAGCCAACAGTCGTTCACTTTGCTTCGTCTGTTTGGACCATGCGGCAGACAGCACTCTACCTGTGAACAAAGACTTGGTGCGAGAATCTTTTCCCAACTTCTCCAAGGATGTTTCCTATCACAAAGGAGTGTGTTCAAAGTGCTACCGCAAAATCACTGAGCTAGAGACTCTTCAGTCGTTCAAACAGTTCTGTGACCTCATGTTTGAAGAGGCCAAATCGGAGCTGGAGCAACTGTTTGACCTCTCGCGACACACACGACTCCTGATAGATCTAGAGCAGCAGGAGCAGTTTAGAAAGTGTCTCACCAATGCGCCCGAGACTAACTTGATAGGTTCCCTTCAAGTGGACGACGATCAGTTGCCCCCATCATCTCTCCTCAGCAGACAACACAGAGCACTCACAACTAACAGGTCCTCAAACACCCTTGATAGCGACAATAACACCGGTATGTTACCGACTAATTTGCTTATTCCGACCACTGGGCGGAACTTTGGATTTGTGTTTTTTTCAATGCAAAACCAAATACTACTAAAACACGTCGCAAAATTTCCATAGCATTTTGAAGCCATTTTAGATGCAGTTTGAGCAGTGACAAAAAATTAAATAATCTTTTCAGCGTCGAGAAAATGGTGATGAATATGACTAATCTGATGATTTTTACTATATTTTTAAAACCTTTTTACAGTGTTTTGTGCAAACCTTTTCTTAAAAATTAATCAAAATATTATTAATTTAATCAGAATTCTGAAATTTGAAGGGTCCCAAAGTTTGAAGATTCCCAACAAAGAGTCCTAGGTGTCATAACTTGTTCAGGCTCTTCGCCAATAAGCAGTGCTGGCGGAAGCTCCTCTTCTAAGAAGAACTCGGGAGTAAGTCTGGCGAACCACAATGACCACTCCGTTAGTGTCTCTACTGGACCACAATCAAAGCCCAATCCCCCCTGGGCAAATGGAGGAGGCCAACAAACCCAATCTCCCACGAGTGCGCCAGGAAGTCGAAGAAAAGCGCAACACAAATCACATCACCACCCGGGATCCAATCTGAGATACGAGGACGAAGAGGCCGGATACTTTGGATCCCAGTCTTCGGGCGGAGGTGGTCCAGGAGCAACCGATAATGACTCGGGATCAGCGAAGAGAAGCATTGCTAACAATGAGTCCGATGAGCCCGAAAGGACGACCACTGATGACAGAATGAGCAGTGTGGGCTTCCTAGAAGGACTGGCCCTCCGTGGTCTGAACAGTTTGAGTTCCAGCTTCTCAGTGTCTGGACACGCCAGCAAAATTCCACCTTTCCAAAACGTAAGTTTTCGCTTTCTGATTTTCGTCCCAGAGTTAGAACATATCAGCCTAATCTTGGCTTTGTTTTCTCGATATCTCTATAAAAATTATTATCTGCGATTTATTTAAACTCTACAGCAATAAATTTAAAGTTCAGCCTAAAATGTAGCGACTCAGATTAATTTACTAATGACCTGTCAACTTTTAGTGCAAAAATTGAGTTTGAAAGTTTGTGAGCGTTCTCAGAGCTTTTCTGCTGTTAAAGGACTACAGTTGATTTCGATTCACTGATTCATTTTATCCGTATCGTTATGTAACCAAGTGTTTTAAAATTATGCAACTAAGAAAACTCGATAATTACTTTACATTGTTTTCATAATTTTAGATTGAGTTTAGCTTACAGCATTCACGGATATCAAATGGAGCAGCCATCAGTAAACCATTTTTTGGACGAAAGAACAGATCTGGTCGGAGTACCAGTTTTTTTGGTCTAAGCCATCGACTAAACCTCGGTAACCATGGGATGTTTGGATCTGACCTTGCATTCGTTCTATTAAAAACGACTATTTAAATGCGACAAAAAACTATATCGTAGAATGGAGGCTATTGTGATAAAAACTATATAGTAAAAAGGTCGCTAACCAAATAGAAAAAGGAATGAAGCGTTTCACCTGAGGCTATCAGGGCAGGCTGCTAAACTCGGATACATAGAAGACGTCGAAAACGAGGCAATAATTGATATTTTCTTTGCCAAAATTAGGCTCGTGGCGATCCCAAAAGAGTTGTTTTAGACCAGACGAAAACAAAGACGAAACACTTAAATCCGCTTTTCTGTAAAAAAAAAGATATGCAATAGCCAACACCTTGAAAAACAGATCTCTTCATCCACTACCTCTGGAAACCCATTCAAGATTAAGCAGGAGCCTACCATGTCCATTCAATTGAAAAACAATTGATCGAAAAACAGAGCAACTACAGGACGGGGGAAAGGCCAGCTAACACCGACAAAGTTTTTCACAGAAACAAGACTACGCCAGAGTAAACAGACAGATGTACAGCAACATGTAACAGCTGACGAGAACGAGCCTTTTGCAAAAAGCTGTAGGTTCTCAAAATCCAATGACAAAAACGCAGAATAATCTGAAGAAAAAGATTGAAATTCATAGTATCAGACCAGGAATCTGATTACACAGACCTAAGAACAAAAAAATAAACAAGTAGAAACGGTAAAAAAGCTAGAAGTGATTATTGCAGCAACGGGTCAGACGAAATGCCTGGGGTAACTTTCAGAACAATGAGCTCAATTTTCAGGGCCGACGTGGACACAAGAAGCCGGACATCTTTTATATTTAAGAGGACCGAATCACTTAATAAAAGGAAAAAATAACGCTAGAGTGTAATCATTAGACAAGTATCCAAGCAAGATAAAAGACGTCGTTTACAACCGTCGCTCAATCAAAAGTTTCGATATATTAGTTAATCACATACATTCAAGTGGCAGGGTAGTGGAAAAATTACATTTCTTGATATCTGAAAAATAAACAAGATAATTTCTTTGGGATTAGACACATGAAATCCGATTGGCTTTGCGGCTACCCTCGTCAAGCCGATGAAATTTCCAGTTGGGGAAATTGAAGCGACCGGAGACGAAGAGTAGGATTAGTCCCAATTCTGGAAACCTTAGCTAAGAAGAAATAGAATGCTGAATTCAATCGCATTGAAACAACCACAACGTTTATTTACTGTTTGAAAATTCATTTCAAGAAAAAAACGGTATGGTACCAGCTTTTAATCAGCCAAAAGAAAGAGCAGAGATCAAAAAGCTGATAAAAGAAGAGCTCATAACCAAGTTGGAAATATACACATCTGTGCAATTTGCAGCTTCATCAGTAACCACGCCAGAAAAGAAGGGCTCGGATAATTTAGCTATTGATTCCAAATCGACGAAATCCCAAATCTTTTGTAAACATTTGCAAAATTTTTTTTAGTACTGCTGGACTCAGCAGCGAAGGTTATTACATTGAATTCGCCAAGAAAGTGTGGTCAACAACATTAGACATAAAATACGCCTTCAGCCAGTTATCTTTGAACGTTATCTTCTTGTTAAACAAGAAAAGAAAAAGGAAAAAAACAACAACAACCACAACAACAATGACAACTATTGCAATTATTGTAACTATTGCAAATATTGCAACTATTGCAACTATTGCAACTATTGTAACAATTGCAACTATTGCAACTATTGCAACTATTGTAACTATTGCAACAATAGCAACTATCGCAACTATTGCAACTATTGCAACTATTGAGGAGTTTGTCAACCCCGACACGAAATGTTGAGGAGAAGCGACAGAGCAATAAGACCGCCGTCTTTTTTTGGTTTTCGTTTTCACTCGGAAGAAAATCCAAATGAGGACTCCATTTCTGCGTCGCAGAGAGTTAGTGACGATGAACAAGAGGATTCATACAACGAAACCGAAGACAAAATAGAAAATGAAGAACAACATACTGGGGCGACTCAACAGCTTCGTGTAATGACCCTCAGCGAGCAAGACCATTATCCTGTCGTACCCATTACAGAAAACGTCACAAACTGTTTGTTTGACGCCTTTGGAGGGTCTCTCGACATATCTAAGGAAGTTAGAGAAACTGAATGGGGAAACAGATGGTATCAGCAAACTGTATTTAGTCCCGGGGGAAACATTGGCAGTAAATACGTTGATCTTTTAACGAAAGAAGTCTGCCGATTGAACCAAAACGAATGTTCAGAACGACTTCTTGTATTCAGCCGATTAATCTTACAGCGGGACCCAATGATAAAAACCACACGTGATGTGAGAGCTTTGATAGGAAGAGGACTTGAAGACTGGGAAAAAAGTAAATTCAATAATCTACAACAAGAAGCCAAACGATGTTCACAAAAACAACCGAGGAAACCTATAAAAAAATAGATCTGAAGAGGAGCACACCGCAGTAGTTTTTGCACGAATGATGATGGAAGGGAAAGTTCGAACTGCCATGCGTTGGCTGACAAGCAGATCTGGCGGAGGTTTGCTCCATCCAAATGACGAAGTTATTGATTCCACAACAAAAACAAGAAAATTAGTCATTGACATTCTGAAAGAAAAACATCCCGTAGCAAAACAGTCAAAAGAAGAAGCAAGAATACAAGTAGACAGCTTACCTGAGTTAGAAATAGTAACCATCACTTCTTCTTATATAGAAAAATTTGCGAGGTCAATGCACGGTGGAGCCGGACCTTCAGGAACAGATTCGGAACACTGGAAAGGCGCATTTCTTCGATTTGGAGGACATAGTTCGGCTTTGAGAGACAAAGATGGCTAACGAAATTATTCCATGGAACCAAATACGAGCATTGATGTCAGGTCGTCTGATCGCTTTGGACAAGTGCCCGGAGTTAGACCCATTGGCATAGGTGAGTGTTTGCGAAGAATAATGTGTAAATGTATGGCCGAAGCGACCAAAAAAGATCTCAAAGAAACCTGTGGATCTCAACAACTAGCTTGTGGTGTGAAAGCAGGAATAGAAGGAGCTGTACACGCAGTGGAGGAGTTGTTTAATAGCACCAAAGAGGACAGACATGGTCTTCTATTGATGGATGCCTCAAATGTATTCAATGCATTGAACAAGGAAACGGCTCTATGGAATGCTAGAATACTTTGGCCAAGGTGCTCACGATTTCTTTTCAACACTTATAGAAGGTATGCTCCGCTAATTTTTGCAGGAACGACAGAACTTCTTTTCAGTAGTGAAGGCACTACACAGGGTGATCCACTAGCGATGTTATTCTATGGTGTTTCATTGATGCCATTGATTGAATCACTCAAAGACCGAGATAAGTATTTACAAACATGGTATGCAGATGATTCGGGAGCTCTCGGCGCACTAGAAATCCTGGTTGAAAGGTTGTCATCTTTGACTGAAAACGGCCCGAAGTATGGCTATTACCCCGAGCCAAGCAAAAGTTATTTGGTTGTTCAGCCGAACTTTGTTGAAAAAGCTCATCAATTGTTTGACAGGTTCGGCATCAGAATAGTTGAAAGTAGAAATTATTTGGGCGGATTTATTGGCTCTGATGAAGGCAAAATTCGTTTCACTTTAAAAATGGTCCAAGAATGGCTGGATTGTCTTGGCGAGTTGTCCTAAACGGCAGATAAAGAACCTCAAGCTGCTTTAGTTGGATTAACAAAAACAAGATCACTGCAATGCGAATGGAATTTTGTCCAGAAAGTAGTCAAAGATACGTCGCAGTTGTTTGCTCCTCTCGAGAAGATGTTGGAAGAAAACTTTTTGCCAAGCTTACTAGGAACTTCTAGTGTCTTACACTCAGATCGTGTTTTGTATTCACTTCCTGTCAAAAGAGGGGGACTAGGTGTTTGAAATCCAATAGAAGGTGGCGAACTAGCATTTTCCACTTCACGTGAAGCAACCGACTGTCTCGTGAGTTCGATCCTTCTCCAAGATGATTTCGACCAAACTCTACACAAAACAAAGATGAGAGAAGCAAGAAAAAACCACGAGGAGAAACAAAATGCTGTGGACAAAGATAAACTCGATGAATTGCTTGCAGTTTTACCAGCAGATCAGAAACGAGCGATCCGGAGAATAATCGACAACAACTGTTCCTAGTGGCTAACTTCGCTGCCCTTGTTGAAAGATAATTTTGATTTGTCAGCCACAGAGTTCAGAGACGCTCTATGTATCAGGTACAGAAAACCACTCAAACGTTCTTTCTCGAAATGCGATGGATGTCGACAAGATTTTGACTTACAGCATGCACTTTCTTGCAAGAAGGGCGGACTGGTAACACTACGACACAACGAAATAAGAGACGCAGTGGGCGATCTTGCTTCAATTTTGTGGAAGGACGTGAAAAGAGAACCTGTCGTAAAGGAACCAGATGTAGAAAATGGAACCCCGGCACTAACTGCAGATCTTTCAGCTCGTGGGGTTTGGGATGGACAGTCGGCTGCGTCGTTCGACATCCGTGTTACAGACAC